CAGGGACGTAACAGACACAGAAAGGGACAGTGATGGTGGACACAGAAAGGGACAGTGATGGTGGACACAGAAAGGGACAGTGATGGTGGACACAGAAAGGGACAGTCATGGTGGACACAGAAAGGAACAGTGATGGTAGACACAGAACAGAAGGGTGATGGTGGACACAGAAAGGGACGGTGATGGTAGACACAGAAAGGGACGGTGATGGTAGACACAGAATGGGACGGTGATGGTGACACAGAAAGGGACGGTGATGGTAGACACAGAAAGGGACGGTGATGGTGACACAGAAAGGGACGGTGATGGTAGACACAGAAAGGGACGGTGATGGTAGACACAGAAAGGGATGATGCTGGTGACACAGAAAGAGACGGTGCTGGTGACACAAAGGGACGGTGCTGGTGGACACAGAAAAGGACGGTGCTGGTGGACACAGAAAAGGACGGTGCTGGTGACACAGAAAGGGACAGTGCTGGTGACACAGAAAGGGACGGTGCTGGTGACACAGAAAGGGACGGTGCTGGTGTCACAAAGGGACGGTGCTGGTGGACACAGAAAAGGACGGTGCTGGTGGACACAGAAAGGGACGGTGCTGGTGGAGAGAGAAGGGGAAGATGCTGGTGGACTGGGAGAAGGGCGGTGATGGACACAGAGAAAGAGATTGAGACAGAAAGAGCAGTGTGTGTGTGTGTATATATATATATATATATATATATATATATATATATATATATATATATATATATATATATATATATATATATATATATATATAAAGTAAGGGGCGCAGTGCGGCGAGTGTCCGGCCGGCCGGAAGACACCGTGCTGGAGCCACAGGTCTGGGACGCCATCACGACTATTACTTCCCCGCTAACACCCACCACTTGTGGTAACTCTTACCAATGTGGGCATCACTACAGGAAATTATGATGGAATATGGTGTGTGTGTGTGTGTGTGTGTGTGTGTGTGTGTGTTACAGGATGAGAGTTACGTTCGTGGTATCCCGTCTTCCCAAACCCTCTGTCAAATCACGCTTTGAAACTTCTGAGGATTTTGACCTCCACTACTTTCTCACTTAAATTGTTCCAACCGTCTACCACTCTGCAAAAGAAAACTCTAATATTATTTCGGCACCTTTGTTTCCTTAGCTCTAATCTATGACCACTTGTTCTTGAAGCTACCGGTTTCAGGAATTCCTCTTTGTCAATTTGTGCAATTCTCGTTGTTATTTGAAAGGGGGGGATCATATCACCTCTTTTTCTTCTATCTTCTAGTTTTGACATGTTTAACGCCTCTGGGTCTCTCGTAACTCTTGTTTTTCAGTCCCGGAAGTCATTTTGTAGCATGCCTTTGCACCTTTCCCAGTTTATTGATGTGCTTCTTGAGATATGAGCACCATACAGCTGCTGCATATTCCAGTTTTGATCTCACAAAATTCATGAAGTTTTTTTAGTATTTCACCATCGACGTAATTAAATGATTCCGAAGTTGGAAAGCGACGCATACGCTCCTCTCACAATGTTCTTTATGGGTTCCTCAGGAGACATTTCTACTATCCAGAACCACTCTTAGATGTCTTTGTTAGAGTTCGTTAAGTCCTTTCCAAATAATTTGTAAGTTCTGTGGTCTATTTTTCCTATTACACATTCCATAACACTGCATTTATTCACATTGAATTTCATTTGCCCCATGGTGCTCCAAGCCTTTATTTTATCTATGTAAATTTGAAGGACATAACAATTGTCTAGGTTTTCTAGGTTTTCCCCAGTATCTTAGCATCATCAGCAAACATGTTCATATAATTCTGTATTCCTTCTGGTAGATCGTTTATGTAGACGATGAACATTACTGGTGCAAGATCTGAACCCTGTGGTACTCTGCTGGCAACACTCCCCCAGTCAGATACATTGTATCTGATTACTACCCTCATCTTTCTATCAGAACCATTTCCATCCATGTCAGTAGTCTTCCTGTCACCCCTCCAGCACGTTTCACATTCCTAAACAGCCTCTTGAGTGGGACTGAAACCATTTTTAGGTCCAGATATACACAGTCAACCCAATCACCATTTCTCCTGTAGAATCTCTGTGGCTCTATCATTAAAACCAAGTATATAAATGTGTGCATTTGTGCACTCACATCAATCCATCCTCTTAAAAATAACGTCACTTTTGGCTCGTATGCGTACTATGGCCAAATTTGGACGTAATTTGAAATGAAATCGACTCACAAAAGTGACGTACTGTCCCATTTTCTGTTTGAGTCGTCCGGCCTACTCGGTATGGTTAGAAGAGGAAACTTTCAATTTACGGTTTTCATAACGTTTTGAAACTTTATGAGAATTTCCTGCCCATCTAACCTACCAGAGGACCCTTAACTTACTGTTGTCAAGAAAAAAAAATCCCAAATTTATCTCACTTTTTCATTTTCAAATTACGTCCACTTTCGGCCATACGGGCAAACGGCCAAAAGCGACGTTATTTTTAAGAGGACAGGTTGAAGACATATCTACTTTACCCCGTCAGCTTTGTGACTGAGTGAGATTAGTCCTCAAAAGCTCCGAACGTATTTCTAAACATCTGTCAAACAAGTAGAGAGAAACAGAAGCCTAAACCTTACAATATAAATATTTTTACAACCCATTAGCCTTATTGAGTTAAAATCTAAAAAGTGGATTACTTGCAGCTTAAATAAATCCACATTTAACCGGAGAGCGGGATCAGCAGTTTCTAGAACTGTGTCAGTGAAGCACTTTGCTAAAGACTTATGATATATTCGCAGTCTGCGCATGCGTTGCGCTCTCTTGCAGACATATAAGCTGAGCATCGCTTCTGTTGGACCTGACTCCAGCTTGTCCCGAAGGTATGAACAGACGACGCACCACGGGGATATATACACAGAGGTGTACCCCGCTTTTCGGTGTACATACACAGTTTACTTTAGTCCTGGACTAAAGTAAACTCTCTATATACAGAGAGAAGCAGGATACATCACTGGGTGCATGTATGCATGTCCCTTGGCAGTTATTGACCAGCACTTCGCAAACCCAAAATTTCGAACTCATAATACTTTATATATTATCTCAAGAGCTGCAACTTTCTAAACTAGTCAACTCACCACTAATGTAACTTTAATTAATATGTGTTGTAAAGTGTGATTCTTCCAAACAGATCCAGGAAGTTAGCAACACTTCCCGGCAGTTGACCTGAACGGGAATTGATCAGGTGATGGAGGCTAATCACCTTGTGCTTACAGGTAAGAGATCTCTGGCTTGATTTTATTCCTAATAACGTTATTGTTTTATTTCCTAAGCGCAGTAGCCAGTCTAAATATGCCTTTTCTCTTTTGATCTTGACTGTGTGTGTCTCATCCTGTAATTACCTAAGTGTAGTTACAGGATGAGAGCTATGCTTGTGGTGTCTCGTCTTCCCAGTTCTCTTTGTCGTATAACGCTTTGAAACTACTGTTTTGGCCTCCACCACCCTCATACTTAGCTTGTTTCAACCGTCTACCACTGTTTACAAATGGAAATTTTCTAATATTTTTTTCGGCACCTCTATTTCCTTAACGTGAATCTGTGGCCTCTTGTTCGTGAAGTTGCTGGTTTCTGGAATTCATCTTCGTCAATTTGGTCGATTCCTGTTAATATTTTATAAGTGGTGATCATATCACCTCTTTTTCTTCTATCTTCTAGTTTTGGCATGTTTAGCGCCTCAAGTGTCTCCTCGTATATCTTGTTTTTCAGTTCCGGAAGCCATTTTGTAGCATACCATTGCTCCTTTTCCAGTTTATTTATGTGCTTCTTGAGATATGGGCACCATACAACTCCTGCATATTCCAATTTCGGTCTCACAAAAGTCGTGAACAGTTTCTTTAATATTTCACCATCCATATAATTAAAAGCAAGTCTGAAGTTGGAAAGCGACGTATACACTCCTCTCAATGTTCTTTATGTGTTCCTCTGGCGACAGCTTACTATTCAAAACCACCCTTAGGTCTCGTTCTTTATTAAGAGTTCTGTAATCCCTTTCCAAATAATTTGTATGTTGTGTGTGGTCTATTTTCTGCGATTCCACATGCCCTAACATAGCATTTATTCACAATGAATTCCATTTGCCCCATGGTGCTCTAAGCACTTATTTTATCTAGATCGATTTGAAGAGCATTACAATCACCTGCGTCTCCTATCTGCCCCAGTATCTTAGCATCATCCGCAAACATGTTCATATTATTCTGAATTCCTTCTTATAGATTGTTTATGTAGACGATGAACATTACGGATACCAGCTGGCTTGAGCACATTTTGCAGGTACTGAGAGACAAATGATGACATTCTGGGATTGTGTGTCAATACCGGACATCAGACCAGGGATCCAGAACGTTTGAGAGGCCCTGCAGTGGCACAGTTATGGCCGAGGTGCCAGAATCAGCCTACGAGTAGTAAAGGGTATCCGAGCCTCCATATTATTTTTGTGTGCTGCGCGAGGTGCGACAAGAGTTAGTTAAGTGAAGTATACGATGTACACTGGGCGTGAGCTCCTTTACCCCGACCGAAGAGTTAAAAATGAAGACGAGAAGCTGGCAGAGTGTGAAACAGATGGTTCCAGGGGTCTGTCAGTTGAGCTCTACATTCTTATTCCACCTGCTCATGGGGAAGCTAGGGACAGGTCCTCCGGGAAGCTAGGGACAGGTCCTCCGGGAAGCTGCCGAGATCCCCGTTGCCCAGGTGTGCCAATCAACGGAAACGTGAAACAATTGCTAGCTGTCTGTCCGTCCACTTGAACGGGTCGGAAGAGCAACGGTCTCCCCTTTTGCATGCTCGTTTTTTGTTAACCCCGATGGTCTAAGTGATTGGATACCCTACCTTCACTCCGTTACCATATCCCAGCCCATAGTTTGACCTCATATCCCTAGTCACGCTGGCTTAGTGCTCTCTGATAATTATTTTATGACCTGCGCACTGTTCACTCTTACTCCTGCAGGAGCGCTCCTGGCGGTGGCGGTGGCGACTGTGGCGGGTCAGGAGGGCACTGTGGCTGTCGTGTCCATCCCTGGCGTGAGTGGTTACCTCGCCAACCCCTGTCATCTGCTGGCGCAACAAGAAAATCACCAAGTTGACTCGCGGGTGACCTTCAACCAGCTGCGACAGGTGGCTCTTACCAATATCATCTTTGCTAACGTCACCCTTCACGCCATCCAAAACATTCTGGTCAGTTTTTGTCCCCCACCCATCTTAATTTACACAATTTCCTTGTGATATTTTTTTGTAATTATTCAATATCTTTTTTTTTTATGAAAGTCTCCGTTACTTCAGTGAATGCCTCCAATCCGTTAGTTTCTCGAGAGCTTTATTCAGTATCCCTTGTATACTGAATAAAGGCTTATACCTTCAGTATACCTTTAACAATTTTTGTTAATACTCTTCACACGAAACATTTGAAGCCTCGTTCATCCTCTCTCTCTTTCTACCCACAGAATAGCGACTGCAACATTCCCTTCTCTCTCAACACACTGCCTCCAGTGCCCTCTCTCTACAACTTACAGGTGAGTCTGATGTCTTTCAAGAGTTTGTAAGTAGGTTTGTATACTTGCTGCTTCCATCTGCTGGGGGAATTTACTTGGTATTAATAATATGGGGTTATTTAAAATATGGGGTTGTCATCTTTCTGGATAACCAGCTAGTAGGGCCAGTCAGCGAGATAATAGTATTGTTTTCTTTAGCCAATTGGGAGGGACACCAGTGATCAGCTCTCCCTCCCGTGAAGCCAGTTGGCATGGCACTCACTGAATGCTGGCTTGGCACTCACTGAATGGCACTCATTTTTCCCCGAAGTAAGCTAGCAAAGGTATCTATACGAGTAATATATGAGCCATTAACCAATGTGTGGGGCAACTTGTGTGTGTGTACAATTACAGGGTTATGTAGCCTGGTTCTATTTGAAGTCTTCTTATACAGACTGAGCTATAGGGTCTCGTAGTATAGTTACCTTTTAATGAACTCGCAATGGGGTAGGGGGTCCCGGGTTTAATTCTGGTACCGAATAGAAATGGTTGGGCATGATTCCTTTTACCTAATACCTCTATTGATGTTGTAGTCAATAAGTATCCGGGAGTTAGTCAACTGTTGTGGGGGTTGCATCCTTGGGAAAGTCAGTAGTTCGACCTTGGGGGAGGGAAGGAGACCTCGATATAAGCCTAAAGTATACATAAGTACACAGGCTTCCTGTCCCTGACATAACGAAATATTATTATTAAACACTCCACATGGTGTCATTTATATCTGCCAGAAAACATTTCAAATTACTATTGAAATAGTTTGCTCTTCAATTGTTCTATCCTCTTTATTTTTGTAATGATGCATATGTAATGCAACACCGGATTGCAACCTGTCAACTGTGTCCGTACTGTCCGTCAACACCTGTTTGTGTACCGCCTTACAGTCACCTGTATGACACCTGTTTGTGTGTGTGTACCGCCTTACAGTCACCTGTATGACACCTGTTTGTGTGTGTACCTCCTTACAGTCACCTGTATGACACCTGTTTGTGTGTGTACCACCTTACAGTCACCTGTATGACACGTGTTTGTGTGTGTACCACCTTACAGTCACCTGTATGACACGTGTTTGTGTGTGTACCCCCTTACAGTCACCTGTATGACACCTGTTTGTGTGTGTACCACCTTACAGTCACCTGTATGACACCTGTTTGTGTGTGTACCACCTTACAGTCACCTGTATGACACCTGTTTGTGTGTGTACCACCTTACAGTCACCTGTATGACACCTGTTTGTGTGTGTACCACCTTACAGTCACCTGTATGACACCTGTTTGTGTGTGTACCACCTTACAGTCACCTGTATGACACGTGTTTGTGTGTGTACCACCTTACAGTCACCTGTATGACACCTGTTTGTGTGTGTACCACCTTACAGTCACCTGTATGACACCTGTTTGTGTGTGTACCACCTTACAGTCACCTGTATGACACCTGTTTGTGTGTGTACCACCTTACAGTCACCTGTATGACACCTGTTTGTGTGTGTACCACCTTACAGTCACCTGTATGACACCTGTTTGTGTGTGTACCACCTTACAGTCACCTGTATGACACCTGTTTGTGTGTGTACCACCTTACAGTCACCTGTATGACACCTGTTTGTGTGTGTACCACCTTACAGTCACCTGTATGACACCTGTTTGTGTGTGTACCACCTTACAGTCACCTGTATGACACCTGTACTCTTCCAGCGTCTCCCATATCCTGTGTGTGTATACTCACCTATTTGTACTCACTTATTTGTGCCAGCAGGATCGAGCTCTAGCTCTTGGACTTGCTTTTCCTGCCATTGGTTATCTAATGCAATGACTCTCGGTCCATTTCTCTATCATAGCTACTTTTAAAGATCTGAATGGTAGTTCTGACCTACCCTCACGCTAAAGCAAAACTTCCTAACTTCTCTATGACACATCTGAGTCTCAAGCTTCCGTCTGTGTCCCCTAGTTCTATTGTAACTCATTGCAAACATTTCCTCTCTTTCCCCTCGTCAATCCCTTTAAGAATTTTATACGTCTGTATCATGTCCCCTCCCCTCTCCCTCCACCTTTCTAACAGGTCAGGTTTAGTTCCTTCAGTCTGTCTTCGTACCTCATCCCTCGCAGCTCTAGGACGATTCTCTTTGCAAACTTCTTCTAACTCCCAGGTAGCTATTTACTACTAGGTTAACAGGAGCATCAGAAGGGAACGAAACTCTTCCCATTTGTTTCCGCCTCGGCCTGGAATCGAACCCGTGCACTTAGGACTACGGCTCAGCCTTAGGAGCCCTCCCCCCATCCCACAGAAGCTGTGGAGGGGCTCCCTGTGAGTGAGTGAGTGTCCGTACCCTACCCACCATCTAAATTCGAGCATCTACCAAATATTGACCCCCCCCCCCCCCAATGTTCACCACCAAGTGTATAACCATCTACATGAACCATCTGTGTGTCCGTTCAGCAACAAGACGCCTTTCGGGTGATGCACCGGGAGTTCATCTTCCTGTTGGCCCACCTGTACTTCGCCATCAACAACACGGACCCCGCCACCACCACCTGCACCCACGAGACGCGCCTCTTCTCCGACGAGCTCCGGGGGTGAGTCCTACCACACCTGCTCCGGGGGCAGGAGCTACGGGGGCAGGAGCTACGGGGGCAGGAGCTACGGGGGCAGGAGCTACGGGGGGCAGGAGCTACGGGGGGCAGGAGCTACGGGGGGCAGGAGCTACGGGGGGCAGGAGCTACGGGGGGCAGGAGCTACGGGGGGCAGGAGCTACAGGGGCAGGAGCTACGGGGGGCAGGAGCTACGGGGGGCAGGAGCTACGGGGGCAGGAGCTACGGGGGGCAGGAGCTACGGGGGGCAGGAGCTACGGGGGGCAGGAGCTACGGGGGGCAGGAGCTACGGGGGGCAGGAGCTACGGGGGGCAGGAGCTACGGGGGGCAGGAGCTACGGGGGGCAGGAGCTACGGGGGGCAGGAGCTACGGGGGGCAGGAGGGAACTATGAACACAAAAATAAAGGAATTAGTATGTATTGTTGTTTTAGATTCAGCTACTCAGAACAAAATGTCCAAGTAGCAAGGGCTATGGTGAGCCCGTAGTGGACTTAGGAACTAGTAGGGGAAAGTACTGATGGAAAGTGTGCTCAGGGCACACGCGCACACAAACGAGGGCGACACGTACTAGGGGAACAAGGACTAAAATACATGTGTACTTAATATGTAGCGAAAGGGGGGAGGGGGGGTTCTTGCTATGGCACACAAGTGGTAACAATGGGGGGATGTGTACTGGGGTAAAAAAACATGCTATGAGTTATTAGTGCTTTGATGATCAGTCCCTCTGGTGCCCCTAAGAACCTCCCTGGTGCTCTAACAGTCTCCCTGGTGAACCATCAACCTCCCTGGTGCCCCAACAACCTCCCTGGTGCCCTAACAACCTCCCTGGTGCCCTAACAACCTCCCTGGTGCCCCAACAGGCTGAGTGGGATGCTGGAGAACATCATGTGCCGCTTGACAGTGCTGGTGCAGAGTGAGAGCCAGCTGGCCCCAGCTGTGAGGGAGGTGATGAGTCTGCGGCTGCAGCACGAGGCCTCCTGTGGGGGCCGCAGCCTCTGGACGTGTATCTTGGCATCCCGCATGCGGCGCGCACTCTCCATGCTGCGGAGGGTACTACTTCAACACGGCCGCCACAACCACTCTCCCGCCAATAACAGTGTGGTTGGTAGACCTGGTGTTATGTGGGTGACAGCCCTGGTGTTATTGTGGGTGGCAGCCCTGGTGTTAGGGTGGGTGGCAGCCCTGGTGTTAGTGTGGCAGGCAGCCCTGGTGTAAGTGTGGGTGGCACCCCTGGTGTTAGTGTGGGTGGCAGCCCTGGTGATAGTGTGGGTGGCAGCCCTGGTGTTATGTAGGTGGCAGCCCTGGTGATAGTGTGGGTGGCAGCCCTGGTGTTATGTAGGTGGCAGCCCTGGTGATAGTGTGGGTGGCAGCCCTGGTGTTATGTAGGTGGCAGCCCTGGTGTAAGTGTGGGTGGCAGCCCTGGTGATACTGTGGGTGGCACCCCTGGTGTTAGAGTGGCTGGCACCTTAACTGGAAATGTAAAACACTGCCCGTTAAAATGTTGAAGGTCCTGTCAAGGAACACACACAGTACTGTATAACTTCTTAATTTCAGTAAATCTGAAGATTGTTCAATGTTTTTTATTTTATTGGAAAATATCTTAACATTTTTTGAGAAAAATTGTGGTGTAAATGTGTGGTATAGTGTAGTGTGGTTGGGGATCCATTATTCTAACCAATCAACTTTTTGTTCTGATTTAAATTTAGACAAGTAAGAAATTTTCACAAAGCCGGCCACGAGGAAGCAACAGACTAGCGGCTGTGTGTAGTGGGACTCGATTTACTAATGTGAAGACATTGGTGAAACTAGAGCCAAAATATACTTAAATTACTTTAGAGAATCGTATTATAATTTCCAGATCTAAAATAAGCTCTGAAAATTCAGAACAACTTAAGTCGTTTTGCGCATCAACATCGCTTCCTCGCTGGCCTGAGAACGTTTCGCATATAATTATGGATGTTACAAGTGTCTTCTCTCCCTGAATTAATAATGAAAGAGGATTGCTTTCTCCACAGGTGTCCACGCAACAGAAGAGGTTTTCCCAGAGGAGGGGTCCTCCCTATCCTCGCCAAGGAGTTCCTCTGGACTCGCTTCACCGTCGACCTTCTGCAGCGTCCATGGTCCCACTCCGTGAATACCAACCTCGCACCTACTCCAGTGATTCTCAAGCCTTCAGTTTACTGGACTATAACGTTCAGGAATTGTCCAACGCTTTGTCATCTCCCAACAATCTCAACGGCTCCTCTAACAGCAGCCCTGGTCTCTTTAATGCTGCAGGTCCTCACGACGGGTCAAACTCTTACAGCAGCCATGATTATTTACTTCCTGCCGACTCCTGGCACCATATTGGCAGTGTCATCAACAAATCCAGCGGCACCTCCAACCTTCCTGACTCTTCCAGTAGTATGAACTACATTAATACTGTGACAGTATCCCCATCTCGCCTCTCTCCCAGGGGCAGCGTTCCCCCTCCCAGCTCCACTGACCTGCGCGAGGCGCTTGCCAACCCTGCGAGTTACTTCCCACTTCGCGGTTACTTTTTGAACCAGGATCGCGCCAAAGATCAACACATGTACAACATCTCGGGTTCCTCCAACTTGAACTCTTTTCCAAGCAATTCCTGGGACTCCGGATTCCTCTTTCACTCCAACACTCTCCCGAAGTCCTCCCATCCTTCCACCTACTCCAACGTCTCCTACACCAACAAGCCCAGTTACTTATACACCTCCTCTTACTCCATAAATAACCCTTATTCTTACCCCTCCATCGACTTTAACAGCAGACCATAACAGGTATGCCAGCAGGAACACAGCAATAGGAATCCAGTTTTCTTTGCCTGTAGTCAGTCCTTGATGATGATAATGATAACGGTTATGAAAACGATGGTGATAATGATAACGACTCCGTTTCACTCTTGAATCATCACATAATGATATCAATGTCTTTGTGTGTGTTCCCTGATATTGGGTACGTCACGAATATCAAACGCTTAGGATCCCTTAAATAATGAGTACTGATCCTTCAGCCTTTAAGAGGTGGCACTATGTTTGCTCGTGTCAAGTATATACTTCTGTTAGACGAGTCAATGGTTTGAATCTTTCTTCTCCACGTGTTGAGAGAGTGGGAGGGTCGGCGCGGAAATAGAAAACTGGTTGCACGCGTCAATAAGAAAACAAAATGGATAAAGTATGTAGTTTGAAATTTGAGTTGAGTTTTCCTCAGAAAACATAGGTTTTTAAAACTGTAAACTTAATTCCATAAAAGTTATTGTTATTACATGACTTTGTATGATATTATCAGCCTGAGATAACTGCATGTATCTTTACTGTCTTACGTATGTTACTAGGGGGAAGGAGGAAAGATACCCAAATGGGACAATGGTAGTCTGTCTTTCCTCCCACCCCTCTTCTCCCATCTCCCCCTTGACCCACCTTTCTCTTTGTCTCCCATTTCTCCCCTCCCCTCCACTTTCCCTATCTCCCCCATCTCTCAGAAAATATATTAAGGGCAGAGACGACTGTATGAGTCTTTCATCTCAACTACAGGCCAGTGTCTCTAACTTACCATGCAAGGTGATGGAGATGATTGAGAGAAAAACCTAGTAACACCTCTGGAGAGAAGAGACTTTTGTAACACCACCACCAACATGGGTTCAGGGAGGCTAAATCTTGTCTCACAGCTTTAGAAGCATTCTATAACCAGGTGGCAAAAATTAAGCATGAAAAAGAATAGTGGGCAGACTGCCTTTTCTCCGATTGTCTGAAAGCATTTGTCACAGTACCCCATAAGAGGCTGGTGCATAAGCTGGAGAAACAGGCAAGAGTAACAGGTAAGTACTGTACCTCTTACTTACCTGCCAGTGGATAAGGGAGTACCTTAGCAATAGGAAGCAGAGTTTTGCTGTGGGGAAAGAGGCCTTAGAATGTCGAGATGTTATTAGTAGAGTCCCAGAGGGTTCTATACTTGGACCTATCCTGTTTCTGATATATGTAAATGATCTTCCAGAGGGTACAGACTCACTCATTCTCAATGTTTGCTGACGAAGCTAAAATCATGAAAAGGATCAAGGCAGAGGACAACTTGATACTATAAGGGCACCAGCTACAGCATGTGAATTACTACTGATGATTATTAATTACAAGATGACCTGGACAAACTGGTGGAATGGTCCAACAAATGGCTACGAGAGTTTAACTCAAGCAAGTGTTAAGTAATGATAGGTGTAAGGAGCAAATGGTACAAGGTACCATTTGGGAGGGGAAGGTATCTATCAGAACACGTCAAGTCATTACGATTATATAGCACTTCAAAGGGCTCAGGATAAGGATTTGGGATGGGATGGGACAGGGAAAGGAATGATGCCCAACCACTTGTACGGTCGGGGATTGAACGCCGACCTGCCTGAAGCGAAACCGTTGCTCTTCTGTCTAGCCCAAGTGAGATGAAAACTTTAAAGAATCAGTGAGAAAGATCTGGGGGTTGATATCACGCCGAACCTATTCTTTGAAGTCCACAGCAAACAGATATCATCAGCGGCATATGCTAGGTTGGTCGATATAAGAACTGCCTTTAGAAACTTGTGTAAGGAATCATTTAAAACCTTGCATACCCCATATGTCAGACCAATCCTGGAGAATACAGCTCTAGCGTCGAGTCCGTATCTAGGCAAGCACAAGACTAAGTTGGAGAAGGTTTAAATGTATGTCACCAGACTAGTACCCGAACTGAGGGGTTGAACTATGAGGAAAGGCTAAGTGAGCTAAACCTCACGTCGCTGGAAGACAAGAGTTAGGGGAGAAATGATCATCACCTACAAAATTCTCAGAGGAATTGACAGAGTGGACAAAGGCAAACTACTGTATTTAACACGGGTGGAACATGAACAATGGGGACACAGGTGGAAGCCGAGTACCAGAATGAGCCACAGAGACATTACTTAACAAACGGAATGCATTAGGCAATGATGTGGTGGAGTCTGCCTCCACCAAACTGTGGTGGAGGCAGACAGGTTAGTGAGAGGGGTGGATTGGTTAGCGAGAGGGGTGGAGTGGTTAATGAGAGGGGTGGAGTGGTGAGGAGAGGGGTGGTGGAGGGGGAGAAGGGGGATAGGCGGTGGGGGAGGGGGGGAGTGGAGGTGGGGGGAGAGAGGGAGTGGTTGTGGGGGAGAGAGGGGGGAGCGTGGTTGTGGGGGTGGGTGGGGGGGGATAGAGAAGAAACTGGTGGCAAGGGTGGAGAAATATTAAGTGTGGGTGAAGCGGTGTCGTAATGCCAGTGGTTGGAGATGATGGAGTGGTAATGCGTACACCTACCTTGTGTAGCCCAGGAGTCCTGTGTACACCTCGCCGAGAAGAACCGCATACATCTAGCGGAGAAGTCCCGTATATACCGACCTAGAAAAGAGCAACGACTCAGAGGATGTAACACTATACCGGACCGGACTGGGAACGTAACTGTACTGGACTGGGAATGTAACTGTACTGGACTGGGAATGTAATTGTACTGGACTGGGAATGTAACTGTACTGGACTAGGAATGTAACTTTGTACTGGACTAGGAATGTAACTCTGTACTGGACTAGGAATGTAACTCTGTACTGGACTAGGAATGTAACTCTGTACTGGACTAGGAATGTAACTGTACTGGACTAGGAATGTAACTCTGTACTGGACTAGGAATGTAACTCTGTACTGGACTAGGAATGTAACTCTGTACTGGACTAGGAATGTAACTCTGTACTGGACTAGGAATGTAACTCTGTACTGGACTAGGAATGTAACTCTGTACTGGACTAGGAATGTAACTCTGTACTGGACTAGGAATGTAACTCTGTACTGGACAAGGAATGTAACTCTGTACTGGACTAGGAATGTAACTCTGTACTGGACTAGGAATGTAACTCTGTACTGGACTAGGAATGTAACTCTGTACTGGACTAGGAATGTAACTCTGTACTGGACTAGGAATGTAACTCTGTACTGGACTAGGAATGTAACTCTGTACTGGACTAGGAATGTAACTCTGTACTGGGCTAGGAATGTAACTCTGTACTGGACTAGGAATGTAACTCTGTACTGGACTAATAATGTAACTCTGTACTGGACTACGAATGTAACTCTGTACTGGACTAGGAATGTAACTCTGTACTGGACTAGGAATGTAACTCTGTACTGGACTAGGAACGTAACTCTGTACTGGACTAGGAACGTAACTCTGTACTGGACTAGGAATGTAACTCTGTACTGGACTAGGAATGTAACTCTGTACTGGACTAATAATGTAACTCTGTACTGGACTACGAATGTAACTCTGTACTGGACTAGGAATGTAACTCTGTACTGGACTAGGAATGTAACTCTGTACTGGACTAGGAACGTAACTCTGTACTGGACTAGGAATGTAACTCTGTACTGGACTAGGAATGTAACTCTGTACTGGGAATGTAATTGTACTGGACTGGGAATGTAACTCTGTACTGGACTGGGGATGTAAGATTATACAGGACGGGGAATATATCACTGAATGATGGCTACGCTGTAATTTTCAGGAATAAAGTTCACTGCATAATATCTTGAAGTTTATTTGTTATTCCTTTAACAGACAAAAGTACAAATAAAATATCAGCAAGCACCGCCTCTCTCTGTCCACACCAGACATGACAGCACAAAGTTTCTCATCGAAACTTAAAGTACTGAATAGTTTGGAAGATATTGATCCAGACAATCTTCAGAAGGTCAGATGTAGCACAGACAAGGAGCAACGGTGTCAAGCTCAACAAGCTTAGGTTAGGTTAGGTTAACAATTGTACTAGTAATTTTTTGGCCAACAGTGTTGGCCAAAAAAAAATTATGCTTGTCACCCATGGGGTAATAAACCCATGGAACCGCCTCTTCGCCGAAGACGTACAGGCCAAAACACTGCTACAACATTACAATTGTTGTGGGTGAGTGTGTATGTAATTTTAAGTCTGGAATTATCTTGTGTATAATCAAATTAATAATGTCCTCGTCCAGAGGTGGGCAAGTGCTGCCTTTAAGGCCGCATGCAATCCTCGAGCGTATTACATATAAAAACAAGAATCAAGAGGATGAAGAGAAGTTTAAGAGAATGGCAATGGTGGACAGTAGTAACACACTTAAGAATTATTCAATAATAGATACAAATTTGTCCTTCTACTGCGGTAGAGGAAAGTCTACTTGGAAGGATTCAATTTACATAAGATTAAGATTAGGATACAAATATATCTGGCAATACGGCGTTGATGTCGGTGAAGAATATAAGGAGTGTAAATTATTAAGTGTGCCGCACGCCCACACCTTAGAACATTATGTTTAAGAGTGTCATTTTATTGATAACTATAGAAGTAAGGAAATAAGTAGTGTACCACATCAAATTGTTTCGATGTGTGAAAATGGTATGATAGACAGAATACTTAGGAGCTACAAGAATTTTGCCCCAAGAGTGTAACACTTGTATGCTGTCCTTACTATATTAACCTGCAATGTTAAATGTGATTCTTGTATTGTGATTTGTGTATTTGTACTAGCTGAATTTGTACGCCCCTTGAGGGACTTTAAGTTGAGGGGAATAGATATAGCCTAAGCTACTCTAGTTCTTTCAGATGTATTTTGTTCTTGTCTCAATAAACATACAGAAGCCGATGAGACAAAGTACTCAACAGTGACCTTAGAATATCCTTTAACACCCAGTTCTTATGACTTCAAAATGTCCCAATATAATCATAGGCTACATCATGGCCCGATTCTTGACGTTTGCCCGGGCCGTTCTGAGGCCCAACCACCCTTAACTTCGGTATATAAACAGTATATAAGCATATCATGTAAAGGATATTGAATATCAAGTTATTGTTTATCTTGTCTTTGGCGAGGTCATACTAAGACAAGTTGTTGACCCATCACTGCCTGCCACATGTACACAATGTTATATTTGCTCAATTAGAAAATATTTTTCGATAATATGGTATTTCTAAACTAGTCACGAATCTTTGCAAAACGACTTAAACATACAGCACAAGACGAGAAGCACTGGACGAAGGTATGTAACTACCGAGAAGTTTGTGTATTTTTGCCACAGCAGTTTTGGCTTCGTCTGGTATTTCCCTCACAATATAACGCTCCATTTATACAAGGAACGAATAATTAAACTTAATAAGAATAACAATATAAACTCTCTTAGACTACACACATTTCTCTTGTTCTTACCAGGCAGTAGTGGGGGAATATTTTGCAACACCTGCAGGAGCTTCCAGCACTCATCCCAACACAACCGACACCGATCACATCTTACTCCCAACTGATGACGTCCGAACTTTTCTCGAATACTGCTTCTCTTACTGCTTGTGTTTGAATTGTGCCTCTCTACAAGAACCTAGGAACCTAATGTATCCGAAGTAACGAACAATATTTAAGATTTTCTAACGTGGGTAAAGCATTTTGAAAAGTGTGGTTTGTGTATAAGAAATAAGTAAACCATTTCTCAAAGAAAGTTTCGAGCGTAATCGGTTCAGGAACACGAGTAAAATTATATCGGCAAGAGTAATGGCAACTAATCTCGCTTATTGGAGGACTCTTTCATGTTCAAAATAAGACAAATATTGTGATGTCATTTTAGTACTTTGTAACTTGAGGGCAGTAAGTGATCTTCTACAACCCCGCCATTGAGCAAAACCAACTGAGCTTTCAATGAATCTTGTCTGACTTGACACATGCACTAAAACGCCTCTCGTGCCATAATGAGTTTAATTTAAATGGTACAATGATAGGAAAAAAATAGTCGTAAACGTAATTCTTAATTAAATATGTATTTTTTTATTAACAAGCTTAGGTATACACAGCATTGTGCTTCTACCCTATTCAATATTTAAGATTACAAAGTGTAGATACAAACTGGCTATAAGGGAAAGGGAATTATCAGGAGAACGCGCCAAACTATTACGACTATATGGCACTGGGAAGAGGTCAGGATAAGGATTTAGGTTGGGAAGGGGGGGGGGGGAGAAGAAGTGGCTATAAGTTCATGTATTATCCTATCTCACACACAGGAGCACATGCAGCACCGCTCCTGTGCCAGGTAATTCCACTACGGGCTCACCATAGCCCGTGCTACTTGCCCCGCTCCTGTGCTAGGTAAGTTACGGGCTCACCATAGCCCGTGCTACTTGGAACTTGTTCCGAGTAGCTGAATTTATAACAACAACAACCCATCTTACAGGATGGTTAGTTATACATGGAGTAGCCTCCACTAGCAAACTCTGGGTACAGCACAAAAATATCTTCCAATATTCCTGAGTGTTATGAATGGAGGGGATAAAATAATAATAACTAACAATAATAATAATAATTATTATTATTATTACTATATAATGTTGTAATTTGTTGTTGTTGGTTGAGTGACGACATGTAAATTTGAAACCCCACATGCAGATAGTAACGTTGTCAAAATAATGACCACAAACGCATCCATGGACTCGCCGATATGATTTTAAATTAAAAACTATTGCTTATGTTTTAGGTTTCAGACTTGTATTTGCCTTGTACTATATTTATTTATAATTTAATTTTGGAATATTGAGAATTTAATTATATTTTATATAAAAAACTTGAATTATGACTTAATTATTTGTTGACGGCGTCTCCCTGGCAAGATTAGTGACACCGATGTAAACACAGCAGACAGAAGTGTGTTTCATATACGCCAGCTTGAACCGTCCTTTACCCCAGCTTGGACCCATCATATATGCTTGCTTGACTCGGTATACATTATATGTCAACTTCAACTATCATACATGCTAACATGTCCCATCATGCCAGCTTGAATCATCATACACCAGCTTGAACCACAATAAATCCCAGCTTGAGCCATTATTCATACCAATTTGAACCATGGAGGAATCGGTTAATATCAAACTAGAGGACGCAGAGTCAATTGAAGTTGTGACAAATGCAGAAGATACTGGAGATGGAGATGCTGAGACGACAGCAGTGGGGAGCAGGACCGAGCCATTGTGTGGAGCCTCATCTCGGGCACATGAATATTTTGATGTTATATTGAAACCTACTTTTGGATATGTTTATTCAGTGGAAAAAGCAAATGAAACGTTAAAATTATTTCAAGAACGGTCGATGTCTCGTTTCGTTTGCTATAAAGTGCAAAGTAGCTTTGGAAGAGATGGTAAGTTGGCAAATGTTGTAGTTCAGTTTCAAGCTAATAAATTGATCATCTCTAGTGTTCACTGTTATTTTCCCCATGTACCTTAACTGTGAGTGCTAGGAGGTAGAAGCTAAAATTATTTTTGTGCCACTTAGTGATAAGCTAAGTTAGGCACCTCAAAAATTTCTAGGATGCCTCTAATTTGTGCCATTCTAAATTTTGGAAAATATTACAAAGTGAGCAATTAATAGATTTATGGACCCATAAGATACCTAACTTATGTATTATTGGATATAAATTTGAAGGATGTTCCAAAATTTGGATACAGGCCCATGAGATGCTGCACTACTTAGAAACAGGTAAAACAACTACTACTGTCTTGCTTGTGTAATGTCAGATAAATCATCCTGATTTATCCTGCATCCATGTAGTTCAGTGACTCATGGAACTTTATTCAAATAATCATTAGCTAGGCTTAATTGTTTATAAGTCGTATGATTCTCAATATACTCCTTAAAATACTCCACTTTTTTTTTTTTAGTATGTTCTGTTTTCCCAAATTCCACAGAATGCTACCTTCCATTATGCATTTGAATGAATGATGAAGCTACAACTGAATTTTTATGTGTACCTGCATTGACTGTGACTTTAGAATCTGTTACTGTATTACAATATTTTTGCACCTCTGATGTTTGTAAGTCTATTTCTAGATTAAATGAACAACTTGCCTCAGGCAGACTAGCCAAATAAAATTTTAATAATCAGTGTTCTTGTTTGCTACCCAGTTATTATTGCTGAATTATTATTATATGCACACAAAATCATTATTTATATATTGTATTTCTGCATGTATTATATCATTAGTAATAAGATATATTTTATTTTTAAATTTCTTCATAAATAGCCAAACAAAGGCAATTATTCAGAAATCTGGATTATTCTGGAAGCTGGAACAGGTTCAGAAGGTTATGGTTCAGATTTTGGAGTAAATATTGACTATTTTGGAGAGACTTGTGGTCTAAACCAACTACCCACCTTCCTTAGGATGCAAGCAATAACAATTGCCTTAACTTATGGGTACCCTTTTACTGCTAGCTGAGCAGAGGCCTCAGGAGAAAGGAACTATGTCCAAGTGACTGTTGTAATATGGAAATAAAATTTTGAGCCAAAATATAAACCATTTATTATGTGTTAACTTTATAAAAAAAAATTGTCCTAGTTTTCATTATTATATATTGGCAGTTTAAAACTAACTTCCCTGTTGGTAAAATGACACCAAAAATTACTTATTGCCAGCAGCACTCTTGCAAGCAGCGTTGCTGATACTTATGCCTTTGGTTGTCTTCAAATGCTCTGAGGGTCGTTAACTAATCTCACATGTGTAGGATGCCCAGACACATTTTCATAGTAAAATGTTAACTACTGTATTACTATTCAGATTGAGGCTAGAGAATATAAGTATGTCACTGAATATCAGGGTATTGACTAGCATTTGTTGAAGCACCAAAACTATATTTTTAGTCAAACATAATATTAATTTAAATACCTTAGTTGATGTACATGTTACTGTAATGGATACATGGATATACTTTAACTATTAAATTAATAAAATTTATTTTCAGATTGGTGTGCAAACAATCATAAAATTCTTTGGCATCAAGATGAACAAAAAATCAAAACAGAGAACTACACTCCTATATATGATGGCATCCCATACATTCTCCTTGGTAGCAAGTTTTTGGAATGCCAGTATGGGATTGATAGAAATGTCTATCAAAAACAGAAACATTATTTAAAAAGAAATGTGAGTGATATATTTTCAAAATTATAATGCCTAGAATTCATTTTGGAACTCACATTGTGCTAATGAAGTTTATAATGGGAGATTCTTACTTCTTCCAGTGTTACCATCACATTTCAACGATGCCAGCATCTCAACAGTCAGACCTCACTATTCCACACATAATATTTCACTAAGTCGTCTTTTTGTCTAGTTCACAGAAATCATAATAATAATAAAAATAATAATGATAGTTTACAGCGTACACCATAATTCTTTGTATATATACTGTATTTCACTTTTTTCTGTATGCATCAATATTCACAATAGCTATCTTACGGTGTGCCATGTTATTTCGTACATTCCTCATTATGTGTATTACATTTCAGTGTTCATTATATAATGTAACATGACTGTTGATTAAAGTACATTAGTTAAAAGTAAAATATATACTTTAAAATGCAGTAGTAATTGCTGATTATTCCTTTCAGGTGGAATTGCTGAAAATCAAAGACCGACGGCTACCTGTCTCAAAGAAAGTTAATTGTCCTGCAAAGATTGTAATGAAGGATATTGTCAAGTTTCCTTCATTTAAGGTATTGTAGAATGCAGTTTATCATTATTTTACATGATTCACAAGGGTACGGTTTTTATTATAACCATCTACCTTTATTTGTAATTTTCTGACCTAACTAGGTTTTAATTTGACATCAAAATACAATTCATGGTTAATGTTTCTCTGTGTTATACTTGTAATTATTCATGGAGATTTACTGGGAAGGAAAATCTTGTAACTTCAGGAAGCCCCTTGTGGCTTCCTGAAGCTGAGAGGGTACCATCTACTAGGTCGCATCAGCCATGGAGGGAAACCTAGGTCTAGTGGGGAGCAGTGCCAGAATCTGGCCCATGCATGCAGCTTGAAACACCAAATGAGCCAGTCCCACACAACAAGCCAGAACTAAAACACACATGAAGCTTATACTAAAATATACTGTAGAAACAATACACAAAGCACATGGGCCCTGCAGGACAACAGAGTCCAAGGATGACTGATACTTAGCTTGATCAGTGGGTCTGGCACACACTGATGGAAGCACTACAAGCAGTACAAGTACATGATAATATGACACCAGCAACAGAACTGGCCTGAGAAGCTGGTTGAGGGCCACCTGAGGGTGATAATTGGTACTAATGAGTTTTGAGCTGGTTTGGGTGAATCCTACTTCTGTGTAAATCGTTTGCCGGCTTCCTTCATGACCCAGCAGAAGAACGAGTAATAATTATTAATTATTATAATTATAATAATAATAATATAATTAATAATTATTACTCTTCAATCTGCTGGGTCATGAAGGAAGCCAGCCACGGGTGATGTTAACTAATTTTAAATATATTGAAACCTTCAGTAATGTTAACTAAATTAATATATACAGTATAGCATTACAATTTCAATGTACAGTATGTATCTTTACTGATAGTTCTTAAAAAAAGTGTTGATGTTATATTACTTGAAGAACTTATAGTTGTTATTATTATACTCTTTTTATTTGTTGATATCAGGTGGATAAAAACACAGTGAATGCCAGAAGAATCAAGTCCATGCTCCTTCGACTTGCCCTGAGGACAGATAATGCTGAGGGTGAGCGAAGGATATACATTCAACTGCCAGATGTATCAGATCATTGCAATCATAACAAATATCCAGTAAGTTTCTTTCCAACATACTGTATTGTTTAAGGAAATTTGTTAACCCTGCAGATAGGTGAGAAATTTCTTGGGGTTTATTATTGTGCAGCTCTTATAGGTATGCCTTAACCCCTAAACTGTGCAGGTATTTAAAAGTACAATACTACATCGAGGTGTGAATGTCTAAAAATAATTGACAAATTAAATGGACAAAAAATCACATAGGGATTGGAACACATGAGAAAGTGCAAATAGTGAGTGGAACAATGTAAAGATTAATAGGATCATAGCCCAATTAGGCACCAATGCTACAAGAACTATGGTGCCCTTATAAAACTATTCAATGATGCTTGAGAATTACCAGAGAAAAATATTGCCGGTGACTAGTAGTCTCCAGGTTCTGGTCTTCTTCAGCCCATGCTCTTTTGGTTTCTGCTGGCCCTTGAGGTCTGGCTTTGACGAGCTTGTCGAGTGCGGTCTGGTCTATATGGCCCTATTTATCCTTCTTTCCTTGGGGAAGAAAGCCAGCCTCATCCTGGCTGGCTCTTGGCTTTTTCTTCATTTCAGCTTAATAGCATTCTCATTGGAGGTTGTGGTGTGATAGCAACAGAGAGTTACTGAGGGGTCTCCTAGAACTCCAGTGTTGAATGTATTGAAATGCCTCTTTCTGGTGGATGCTCAGTAGCTCCATCTCCACTTATTAACTCAAGAATGACAGTGTGAGTGATGCTGCTTTGTGCCAACTGCCACCAAAGCCCCTCACCTTGCTGTTGAGCCTGCATATTTTCATTTCTGATGGTTAATATTCAAGTGTACTCTACGCAGTATACTGTATTCCAGTATATTGACAATAAGATCTTCCAGTTCTTACAAAGGCATCGATGATCACTTGAGTGTTTGTGCTGCACACACTGTAAGCGAGAAGAATGTGTGTCAAACATGTTGGGTACATATTTAATGATGCTTAGGAAGGAAACTGGTCATTTAGTATATATTTTCAATGTGGTGGGCAATCATTAGAGCCATCTAGGGAACAATAAAATGTAACCATACACCTGCTTTGATTTATAAACAAGTGAGGCTGGGTGAAATCGTCTGCAGGCAATTGGAGCATGTATTTGCCTGTCATGTGCAGATAAAAAAAATAAAAATTGTGCATTTTTTAATTTTTTTTTTTTTTCATTTTAGGGTGCAGATTAAGGGGGTTAGAAGTAAACAAATGCTATAGTTGCCTATTTTATATAAACTTTCTTAGTATTACTTGCCCACTGCAGTTTTTGTGATATATTTCATAATATACTTCATCATATTTGGTTAAATATACTTAATCATATTGGTTAATCTGAACAATTGTTTAATATTTTAGAGTGGCAAGAGACCTCGGAGATTACGGAAATTGAAAGATAACACCAGGGCTGCATTTCCTCCTAGTTTAGACACAGAATTAAGTGACTCTCAGTTTCTCCAAACATTTAGAGTCACAAAATCTTTATATCAGGTAAAGTGTTCTAACTTATATACTGTACTGTAATTTGTTTGTTACAATAAGGGGAATGTAATATGGAAAGTGAAATAAGAAAATTTAAAGTATAGTATTGGGTATATATGAATCATTGTACTGTAATAGGTTACGAAAATACTTAAAATATGAAATTGGGTCGAATAAATGGTTTTCCAGTGTTGGGGACAGGAAGCCTGTTAGGCTTATCAAGGTCCCCCTTTGCTAACAACTAACCTTCCTCAGAATGCCTATCACAACATTTGCCTAACTCCCAGATATATATTTACTATGAGGTAAACAGCAGCATCAGGTGTAAGAAGACATGCCCAAATGTCTTGTCCTGCATGTGGATTGATCTTGTGGCCAATAAATGATGAGTAATGGGAAAAGCCAAGGAATTACTGGTGTGCTAGTGTCTTGATAAGAGTGTGGGAAACCTTGTTTGCATGAAGCAACGTTTTCAAAACTAAACAATTGCACAACATTTTCTCACAAATGCATATTTGTGAGAAAACAATTTCTTCCTTCCAAGCAATTAATCATGCTATGTCAGAGTCTCATTTGATATTCATCACATGAAGTAAGCATGTATGGTGTTAAGCTAATAGAATAAGGAATGAAAATGCCATGGAGATATGTGAAGTGCATAAGTTGTTTAACAACAACCCTGGAAACACAAACCAAAACTGTCTCTATTTTCCGCTTGTTACAACTTGTAATAAAGTTGTTACATCTTGGCTTAACGTGTTTATGACGTATCAGAACGTTGTTACAACTTGCTATATTGGTTGTTATAACTGGTTAGGAGGTGTTAATACTTGTTCGAACGTTGTACCAACGTCGTAGTTTCGTTGTGTGTTTGGCGGGAAGTGTAGAGGTGGTTCAGGCATGTTGAATAAATGGATGATGGTAAACTGGTGAAGAGAGCATATTAAAGTGAATTTGAAGATAGGATGAGGGAAGAAAGGCTGGGAAGATTGTGACATGTGATGTGTGTAAGGAACAGAGATTAAGCATGAACAAACCATAGTGCCAGTTCAATCACTTCGTGGGTTCATGTTGATTCGGGTTCCTAAGCTAGCCTTCCTCTCTCTACAGTCGACTGTCTTGGATAAGTTTCCTGCTGTAAGTTTGCCTTTTGTAAATTAGTTTTTTTATTTTATTTATGTAATAGTGTCCTGGGAAAAAAAATCATTGGTCCTCTCTTTGAGGGGCTGTGGGAAAAGGCTGAAGTTAACTACCAAGGGGACCTCTCCAACTTTGTAATGAAACACCTATTTCTGGTTGGTCCACAGTAGCTTCCTAGTCCCATTCTTATTTTTCCTCCTCCATAACTGTCTCTTGTAACTTAGGCTTGAGAGTGAAAGATCCACCTCACTGGGATCCCAAGTGTGGTGTGGTGCCACCTGGTAGCAAAATGTGAGGTGATTGATTTATGAGTGTTTCAATACTTAATGATTTAATAATTTCTGAGTTTGATGATTATTTATTTCCAAACTTTTCTTGGAGTTGTTTTTGTAATTTGTGACTATTTCATTTTTATGAGCAGGAGAATTTTTGGAATGTTACTAATCACTGGTGGCCAGAGATTGTCATAGGAGTCTGGCATATTAAATATAGCTCTGCAGAATTATTGCCATTCTCAGCTACTGAGGAATGTCCAGAATAAGGCATTTAATTACATTCAACGTTTTTTTTCAAGTTTTTAGTTGGAGAATGGCAAAAGGAAGTAGTAGAGAAGATGGTAAAAGCTGGGTTGGCTGTGGCCGAGCTGGAGCAATATGAACAGCACGTTCTGGCTTCACTGTACTACTTGGGCTCTAATGAGAATATAGCTGCGGCATCTTCAAGGTAAGTTGTAACAATGTACTCTTCATGTGAATGATACAGTAACTGTCTTTTTGTTCATTTTGTCAGTGTTTTCAGTTTCTTCATCTTCAGCCTACTCCATCTTTTCTAACAAAGAATGAGACCGGGTTTCTGGAGGGGTCTCTTGGTGATTAATAACTGGTTTGTTTGGTCAGGAGTGCATCAAAGTACTGTACAATGTGTGTGCATCAGTGCATTCACTGATGCATACATATTATACTATATTACTCTTCTTGCTTGTGCCATGTAGGATGTTCATGCAGTTGCATTTTTTGTCACTCTCATGTCCATGGTCCCTTGTTCCAGGGCTTGGTTATCTCAGGCAGCTCATGTGGTCATTATGAATCGGTTAGTCATCTTTCCTTGTGCTCATTGTCTGGAAATTTGTGGTCTTTTTCAGTACAGTATGTTGCTTTCTAATATTTGAGTTAATGAGTATCGACACTAACTAGGTGCTAGTGGCTCAGTATTTAGTCAGCGCTCCTCACCTGTGTCGAGGAGCGTGTGTTGCATTGGGTTGGTTGAACTGGAATTGATATCCTGTGGGTGGTATCTTTTTCTCCCCTCTGCTCATGGTAAGCTTGGACCAATTCTTCATTTGTGAGATAATGGTCGCTTCTTCATTGTGGTAAATTAGTTCATGGAGTCACTGAATGGGCCCTCCCAGAAATCCAGCATTGAATGTAGTAAATTACTTCTTGATGGGTCTCTTGTTAGCTGCTCACCCTCATCCATGCTGTTCTTCTATGATGTTGAGGTATTGTGCATTTGGGTAGTGCAAGAATGAGTGGGGGTGATGACTGAAGACCACTGGAGGCCAGTGTTATCACCTGGTGATGTGCATGAGTTTAAGACCAGTGGTTCTAGCCAGGCAATGATTGTTTACATAGTTAGGAACAACATTACCAATATTTATAATGTTGTCTGCTTTGGTGCACTCTACCTTTCAAGTGGTTTTTCTCTTGGTTACTAGTGATCCTATATTTCAATATAGGATCACCAGAGTATATAGACATCCTATGTCTGGTTGATACCTGGTTGATGGGGTTTTGGGAGTTCTTCTACTCTCTAAGCCCGGCCCGAGGCCAGGCTTGACTTGTTAGAGTTTGGTCCACTAGGCTGTTATTTGGAGCGGCCCACAGGCCCACTCATCCACCACAGCCCGGTTGGTCCGGCACTCCTTGGAGGAAATAATCTAATTTTCGCTTGAAGATGATTTCTCTTGTCTCTTTTGATGGGGTAAAATTCTCCTTCTGGTTTTCAGTAGGCGCTTTTAAATGAATGTAGCCTGATACATTTCTTAAGTATGTAAGCTACCTAAGTGGGTAGTTTGGGGAGCTACAAAGAGACCCACCAGAAAGAGGCATTTCATTAAATTCAACACAGAATTTTTGTGATATCTGTAAGGAGATTCACGCACACAGCTTATGAGAGTCAAATCAGATTTTCATAGTGTTATCTCTCCTAGATTCTTGCTTGGGTTAGCAGTGTGTAGTCCTTGGTACACTCATCTTGTTACGGTAGCCAGTACTTCTTAAATGTCTGGGGGAACACAGTGCCCCCTGGGGGTGTCTCAGAAGCCTTCACTGTATTTGGTTGTTCTGTGTTAATGCTTCTTCTTTTTAATTTTCTCAGAATACATTAGGGAGCAGTAAATTAAGTTATCTCAGAAATCAGGCTTGAGTTTATGAAGGTGCATACCCGGGCAATTCATTCTGCCACTCCCTCTCCCTCCCTTTTGCCTAGCTTTTCGTGTGTTAAAAGGCGGGTCACAGAATTAGGAAGTATGTGGTGGTAGCTTGAGTATGTTGAGTTGGCAGTGTAGGTGTGTAACAAGGTAGTTGGTAGTTAATCAGAGCCTTCCTTTGGTGATCATGCTGTGATGTTGTGGAAGAGGTTTTGTAGAATTTTGGTATATGTAAGTTACTTTTACTTTGATTCAGTTTTCTCCAGTAACACTGATACCTTAAATGATCCTTCAGGGACACTTGACAAGTTTTAAGTGGCATTGATGTAGTTGTTTGTCCTGTCTGACTGCACAATCCTCCCCATGAACACAAATGACCATAACCTTGGCAACCTACTCAGAAACAATATTCATAACCTTAAAACCTGATTTTACATGTTTTATTTAAAAACTAATTTTAAATTTGATTTCAAACTGAGGTAGGAAATAGCTATCACATAAAATTCTGTGACCCGGCCTGTCTTATAATACTAATATTTTCAAGTACAGTATCTATTAGTGTGAATAGAAGTAATCACTAAAAGTAATCACTTTATTGCAAAGTTAAAAGTTTTGTCCTATATTTATTATACAGTATTTTGTAAGTGCATCACACAGAGTAGATGAGGATTATAATGATAATTTCTGGGCTTATGACCTGCAGTAGCTCCCCGGTTTATGTCATCAGTACACATTGGAAACTGAACATGCCAGGCTGCCAGTGATAATTTTGGCCATTCTTGGACAATTCCTGTTGATGTAGTAACAGGCTCACACTGCAATCTGGTCTGCAGGGTTAATTCAAGCCCTGGCCAGGGAAAATTAACTGGGCACCAATCCTTAAGTGTTTGCCCCATGTTCTCCCAGCAGTAACTGGGTACCTGGTTGTTAACTGATTGGCTGGTCATGTTCCAGGGAAAACTAGTAAGATTTGGGGAGTAGAAAAACTCCTGGAACACTATGGGAAGGGAAAACTCTGAGTCTAGTACCAGGGGTTAGGCATTATCTATTCCTGTACTCGCTTATTTAAAAAACAAACAAAAGTACCCTTTCAAACATTCTTTCTACCTTCCATGTAGTGGGATACTCATGGGGATCAGACCCACTACTTAGGTGAACCACCTGAAAAGCAAGGAAAATAACAAAACACTCAACCCTTCAAATTTTGTTTCAAAACAACCAATTCCCAAGCAACTCTGAACAACTTAATTAATTAACAACCCCATTCATCCAACAACCTCAGCCAACACGAAGGGTAAATCTGAGCCACCTGAGGGTCAGTGTGAAGAAGACACTTTATGCACTCTTTGTACATATGTGAATACACATAGAGCTTCCAGCTGAAGGAAAGAACATGAACCCACTGAGGGGACCTACCAAAAAAAAAAAGAGAGATGATTCATTACATTTACCCCTACATTTCTGTTCAGGCTCCTCTCAGTGGCTCCCTGAGCTGTCTCACCATGGAGAACAACACAAAAAAGGGCCTACCAAGGGCAGAGGAAGAAGTAGTCAGTAACCCAGGAAAGGGCGATCAGCACTGGGCCACTCTGCCCAGTGTTATAGAAACCAGCATCTTTCTCCATGCAGTTGCTTGTTTTGGGTTTCACTATATCTCTGGTGGTTTTTCTCTTTACTTGGGTTGCTTGGATTGATTTACTTTCCCAAGACTCCCTTTGCCTCTGTTGAGTAGACCAGATTCCGTTTCTGGTCTGCAGTAGGGTTTTGTGACTCGCAGAGGCCTGGTGGGGCACCATATGTGTGGGCTACAGAGGGGGCCAACAGAAAGATGCATTTTATTACATTCAATTCTGGATTTTTACCAGCTTCCCATATCAGAGGATGTGATGGGGCTCAAGTTTGAAAGCCAACCTCACCTCCCTCGGGGTCTGGCTGCCACCTAGTTGTGGTTGTGGCAGTCAGATTAGTAAAAATTAGGTTTTCAGAGTTATTTGTCAATTGGCTGTTTAAAAAAAATGGAGAAGGGTTGAGTGTTTTGCTATTTTCTTCAGTTTTCAAATGGTTTAATTTGGTACTGGATTAGCCTCATCTCTACAGTGTCCTCACCACATGGATGATACAGGACTTTTATAGAAAGGTAATTGTCCTCAGTGTGATATAGTCACAGTGACGTAAGTTGAGTAGAGCTACTAAGGAACAACCTCGAAGGGAGTGTTTCATTATACTGTATGCTTTATTTTTAACAGGTTTAAGATCAAGACTATTGAATTACTGGACACCATTCTCAAGTTTTCTGACTTCCTTATAAGGCAACAAGAAAAATATCTGACCTTGCCAACACTAGAAGAGAGGTTAGTTAAAAAATTTATATTAAAATTCTATATTCCCTTTGTTATTTTTGTAATCTCAATGCATATAATTGCAAAAAGTATGTATCATATATTTTTAGGTAATTCTCACAATTTCACATTGGTTTGCTGCATGTCCTGTATGCTGTAATAACACAAGATGGAATAAGGCAGGAATAAAGACTAACTAACCTAGTGTTAAGCAGGGCTGTTACATGGGTATAATTAATGAAAAGCAATTAGTCATTCTCCAAAAAAGTCTGCCACAGCCAGTCTGAATCTTGTGCCCTGGACTGTTTTGTGCACATGTCTGCACGGATACTAAATATTTAGAGCATATATGCAGTCTCCAGTAACAGTGTTGTGCACCTCTGAAGCTGGAAGAGTGCCAAAACAAGCATTCACCATTGAAAAAAGGTGTAGTTTAATAAATGATTTATAGTTGCAAATCATTTAATTCAGAAATTCAAGAAGGAATAGGTGTAAATGTTGAAAGCCAGTAGCAAATATTGGAACATTATGAGGCACAGCATGTAATCATGTGCTCATGCTTTCAAGCAGTGGTTTGTTTTATTTTGTCTAGACTTTCTAATCAGTTTTCCATGTTTTCAATCTCTGATCTTTATTCTTCCCTTGCCTCATTGAGAGAACCAGATTCTGGTCCTGGTTCCCAGTAGGCCTATTTATGTCTCAGAGGCCTGGTACACACTGATGGCTTATCGGTATCACTGTTTAAGCTCCTTAGAGCTACTGACTAGAAAGCGGTGTTTCATCACATTCATTGCTTGATATTTGTTTCCAGGATAACAATTGCCGAAGTAATCAAGCATGATACAGGATTCCCAGGAGTTTTCGGAGCAATGGATGCAGCTCTTGTTCACATGCGGACGCCACTTAGCCAGGAGGAAGAGTTTTGCTATGCTAAAACTGCCTCTGGGTCCAAGTGTGCTTTTGTCCTGCAGTTTATAGTAGACCAAAGACTACTTTTTCGAGATATTCATTTGGACGCTCCAGCCACTGGCACACGCATCCAGGTGTTTCAGGTAATCTGCTTGTTAATCAACTTAAAATAGCTATGGTGACATGCACTTTTGCTTAGCACATTGTAATAACCTAGCAAACCATTTGAAGCCCAAGAAACATTAACGGTGGTGCCTTAAAGTGCATTTAACCGATTTTACAAATAATAATTAGTATTGGTTCATCATCGCTTTATCTTGCGTGCATACTTCCTCTAGGAATCAGAGGCCTGGTTTCATCTTCAAACTCTTACAAGTTCAGAAACACATGTAGTTGCTCCTAGTGTGTATCCCCTGGCACCGGCCATCATGACGCCGCACATGGCCAATGAATTAACCTACCAGGTGAGAGTCGACCATTTTCACCAATTTAGTTATTAAGTTATTTACAAACACAAAATGTCCATTCTGATCAGATTCTGTTATCAATACATAATTGTATAATAACTAGCATAACTATGTTTAGGATATAAGAGGGAACTTGTTTATCATTTTAGTATGTTATATGGCTTTATGTATACAGTATACAGCACACATTTATTTATGGTAATTTTAATTCTTGCAGGAAATAATATATAATGAAAACCACAGCAAAGTTCTAAAGCTAGTAACTAATGTGATGACAATATTCAAATCAAGATTTAAGCGTATGCAACAATTGGATCAATATATTGAAAACAACAGGAAGATTGTAAGGGCCAATTGCATCCTCCACAACATTGCTCTCATACGTGAAGATGAAACTGTAAGTCTGTCTTATTTGAGCATTAGCATGCTCTTCCCTTCCAAGTTACTTTATTATATAGTGTGTGAGTCTACAGTATTGATGAATTATATTAAATTTCTTCTAGCTTTACACCAGTTATATGGTAATTTATGTCATTTAGATCTTGTAGTTTTGAGTTATCTAATATGCTCCCAAATTAATATATATACATACTGTGAAAAATAATATTATTATTTAGAAAATCAGTAGGAACCATGAGGAGGAATCAAACCCACACACACATGGTACTCACAAGCACACCCTAGACCACGACATGATTTTCTAATTGATGCATCTCATTAATGTGATTTCATTGTACATTATTACTATTTCTTTTATTCAGGTGATAGAGATGTTGTCTCTGGGGTACAACAGTGAAGCAGCTGAAGAGGGCTGGCACAGTGTGGGAGGAGACGAGGTGGTGGCTGAGTTTGGTATTCTTGGTGGTGAAGAGAAGAGACATTATCTCACGACAGTCATGACAGCTTCATATGATTCTACACTATCTTATGTACAACTCACACCTCATACTGGCAGTTAGCCTATCCTTTAACTTCCAACATTCTGTATAAATACAAATGAATAAATTATACATAATTTATTTTGACTATACAAATATTTTATTTTAAGTGCCGCATAAATGGATGATAGCAAAATTGTAAATGAAAATGTTGATTAATAATATGACAATTTTCTTATTTTGTCACAAGAATCAAAACAAAATGAATGTACAAATCTCTAGATTGCAAGGACCTGGTTTCCGTCTCTATTACATACTAAATTGCTTGATTGCATAGCAGGTGCACTAGCATATACAACATTCTGTGTTCAGGTTAGACTAATATATATATTTTTTAGCTATTAATAAAAGCATTTAATTTTTATAGAGAAATGTAGGCCTTCTGTACATGTGGTTCTCAGTAACCAAATAAGATCTAAAATCTGTACCAGCATGAACAGTATGATGTCATAATGACGTCACAACATTTTCTATTTTCGTTAGGTTTGTTTATAGTGATGATGTAGGGTGTACATTGTGACGTAAAAGCGAAAGAATAGAGCAGTGGCTATTCTGGCTTTTGAAATGCCAATCACATTAAATAAAAAAAAGCTAAAGCAAAGTACTGTAAATAAAACTGCTTCTGACCTCTTTTACGGTGTGAAAGTTGCAGGATAAATTCCAAAAGAATGAAAAACTTAAATATTTAATATAACAAAAATGACTAACAAATAAAACAATTCCAATATTCTACTTAGCAAAACACAAAATACAATGCAATATGAACAGGTAACAGTTACGTTAATAGCAAATAAAGGTGCAAAATATAATATACAACAAGCTGTACGCATCTACAGTTTCCTGGAAGGCTACAGTAGATGTTACTGCTGAGAGCACGAAGCGTATTCTGAGGTCTGGCTGGTGGTGAACTGCTTATATAGGCGGGCAGACCTAGTGTAGGTGGCGCTGATGTGCAGGTAACTATCGCCGGCAGTCTCAAGCGAGTGGTTAGGCTGGTTGACCGGCTAGTGGAGTTGTCCCCAGGTGTCTCAGGTACTTGAGGGTGGAGGGAGGGAGGGGCGGAGTCTTGTCTGCACACAGATTTCTGAGCACGTATTGTGGTCGTTGTTAATATTGAATTCTTGTACCATAGTATGCATTAATGTTGTTGAATAGGCAGGATCTCCTTGCCTAAGCAAGAGATTACCGTAACAACATTCTTTCCTCAGGTCATAGATCCTACTCATTTAAACACTAGACTGCTCAATTTCAGTAAGAACTATGCTTTCATATCCCCAAATTCCTAAAAATATTTTTTTCTTTTTTAATTTATATATGTATACTGCACAAGACTTCTTACATTCTTGTAAAACCACTAGCATGTATATTGCTTCGGGCAGGTCCTTAATCCTAATTTGTTTCCCTGAATACGACCTGCCAAATCATTTAACAAGCAGGTACCTATTCACTGCTGGGTGAACAGAGGTTACAGTTAAGGATTAGCACCCGGTGAATCCTCCCCGGCCAGGATACAAATCCAGGCCAAAGCGCTGGGCGCATGCTTTAACACTATGCCACAGGAGCTGGCGAAAATTTGTTCAAATTAGTTACATGACAACAAAAAATAATCTTTAACAAATATGCATATCTGATAATATTAAATTCCGAATGAAGTATCTATTAACATTTTAGCTGCATTTTAGTTCAAATTGACATAATGGCTAATTTTTTACCAGCTGTTCTCTCCCTCAAGGATTGCAAAATTATACTTTAGAACTTCTCCCAAGACTATCAGGAAAATAAGGTTTATTGTACAGTACATTCAATTTGTTATTGATCTCTATTCTTGTGGCTTGACCAAATATTTATGTTAAAAGGTAAAAATGCATAATGGTATGTCATATTGTGTGAATGTATTTGCTATATAGTATATAATGTATATAGAAGTACCATAATATTATTTTACAGCTATACTATTGTCCTAATCAGTTACTATCAATTGTGCACTATTGGTGAATTCTCATTAAGACAATACAGTTATGACACCAAAATGTATAAGGTAGTTTACCTTTTTGCTGTATTTCTCCTAAGTATCTTCCTTTATATATAATGTAATATACATTACATTATATATACAGTACTGTATATATATAAATATAATGTACATAATCTGAGTTATCTACAGTTCATTCTTTTGAATATAAGCCAAGTTGCAGTACATCAGTACCCCCTATTTTCCATGTTTCTGGGGCGAGATGGGCTATCAGGCCAGAAAAATAAAACTAACTATATACTGTACTACTTTAGTAACCTTAGTGAGAAAAATACTGCACCACCATACTCAAGTTTCTTATCCACAGAACATTCCAACACTTCACAAGACTGGGTATACATCTTTGTGACTCGTCGCATACAGTATAAACACATTCATTCCCTTATAAATTGCCATCACCCAGTGTTGTCCCCTCCATGAAAATTGTAGTTCATGCTTGCATGTTCCCATTCCTGCCCTAATTGCGGGAGGCACTTCTTTGAGTTTGGTCGAGTCTACCACCTACAGGTCCAGGTCCCCCTCCTGTTTCCTTCCTCTTGATACGCTGTGCTTCCCAACTCATATGGGAAACCCTCACAAGGATACCAATCCCATGATCTATTCATTACTTTGGACTTGTGGGAATATCAATTTGGACATGTATCTTAATCATTAACCAGGATGGGCACTGGCACATTCATTGAGTAAACTCCTTGACAATGCAAGTTAGTGGTTGCAAGTACAATCAAGATCATTCAGAAAACACTAGCCAGCATGTGGGTTCAGTTCACCCTAGGTTTTTGGGGTTGTACCCTGGCACTAGTTTTTGTCCTGCAGCTGCTTCCCTGCTCTACTGTTGGCTTCTTGCCCTGGTCTTGGGCCAGATGCCCAGTGGTTTCTAGGCAATATGTTCAATAGTTCTCAGGCCAAGTGCCTGATAGGTCCTAGGCTGAGTTCCAGACTGGTACTGGGCTAAATTACCCATGGTTCCTGGAAAGTAGCCAAGGATTCATGGCTAGAGATTCTGAGCTGCATAACCCAACAGTTCATTGGCTGTATTTTTCATTGGATCCCAGGCCAGTGTGCTCACTTGTTCCCAGGCTGTGCACCCATTGGTTTTTGGGAGTTGTCAGGCTGCATGCCCACTGGTCCCCACCTGCTAGCCTGCTGCTGCCTGGGCTGCATACCCAGCAATTCTTGGGCTGCATACTGGAGGTAAATACCAGGACACATGCCCACTGGTTCTAGAGCATTAGAAGGGTGCTCAAGAGAATACCCTTAGCCTACAGAAACCATGCAAACTACTGTACAGTTGCTAGATACACTGCCAAAAAAAATGCAGGTGCCACATAACCAGATGGCCATAAGACAAGCAGACAGAGCCTAAACCAGCCAGTCCAAGTAGGCCAAGACAAAAAACTCCAAAATTTGTTTTACATGTAATTACAGTATTATATAATTTATTGGGTAGGGGAAAAAACACTAATATTGGAGGGAGGGCATTCAAAAGTTTGATATGCCCTTGAGATTAATATGTACATTTATCCATATTTTACACCAACAGGTTATTTTGGAGACTTCAAATTTCTTGGATTTGGCAAACAGCAAATACTGCACATCCAATATACATGGACAAAACCAAATTTCTCCCCAGCTACCAGTTGTTCAGCCACAATTGCATTTAAGGACTAAAAGTGAAAAGATCACAGCTCATATGCATTTTATTCTTGCATACGTACATACTATATACATGTAGCTAATACACAACTTATACAGGACATTACACAAGTGTCATATATCCAGATGCTTAACCATAATTAGGTAGATATTGCACTTAACATCTAAAGTGTCACTTCTTCATAATGAAAGGATTATAATGGTATACAATAGCTTGTTCAATATTTAATTTAGAATGCAGAGAAATCATATGAAACCATAAAAAATATGTTCAAAACTGCTACAATGTAATTTAACATTTATCACTGAATACCTTTACAATATACTATACATGAAAGTAACATACAACCCAATAGTTTGTGTGGTTATACAAAATTTATAAAATTGAATTTGTATCCATAAAAATTCAGAAAATGAGTTTGAAAAAATTAAAATTAATTTTCTCTGCCACCTGGAGCTGTATCCAATTACAATATGTATAAGAGAAGTTATAAATGGAGAAGAGCAAACAGCTACCTAGCCAGGTTTACAGTAAACCTATAATAAACCCAAATGTTAAAACATTCCACCAGCTAGGATTCTTGTTAAATATATTTTGAATATTTTTTCCAATTTATTGCTGCATGCAATATGGAGAAGGAGTTGTTCTGGAGTTCTACCTGGAGTTCTTATAGTTTGTTGTACTGAAAACTACCTTGAACCTTCTTTATACAGTAATGTACTTACTAGGGAGCTTAAAAAGAAATGTATAGTATGCTTTCTGTCAACAAGGGTATGCACGACTGTAAGAGAAACAATGCAATTTGGACAATAAGGAGCAGGGGGTGCTCCATTAAGTGACCATGAGTTAAGCGAGTATGGCCAATACGCAACCTCGCCAGAGCCGTTTCCCACCACCAGTTACGATGGCAGGAGGAAGGCCACGGGAACACACCACTCTTAAGAGTACGCAGTTTGTCAACAGAAGACCAACAACCCTGCCAACGGGCAAGAATGGAGGAATGAATAACAGGGTAAAAGTCGGAATAAGGAATACCTTTACGGGAAACGGGACAAGAGCGGATAGCCTCTCTAGCGGCAGCATCTGCACGCTCATTTAAAGAAACACCTATATGGCTGGGAACTCGGCAAAACTATGGATTTAAATTTACTCGAGTTAAGAAACGGCCAATGTTGAATCTCGACGACTACCGGATGAACAGGATTAAAGGACCCGAGAGCCATGAGGGCACTACGAGAGTCGATGACAACCACAAAGGAGGATTGACAATGAGAAGGCAGGAGACAGAGCATAGAGAATAGCATAAAGCTCCGCAGTGAAGATGCAAGTCTCCGAAGGGACACCCATAACAAAAAGTACAGGGATTTTGTTAATCTGATGCAGACTTCAACTGTTTGATAGCTAAATACATTGATCTACACATTCTTTGCACATTTCATTTGCTGATACAACACCATTTCAGACTCGTGAAATTTTTTTCCACCATTCTTTGCACTTAGGTTTTTCCAACAGTTAAAGGTTGAATGCCAATTATTTTAATTAAGATAACCAGATAAATGCATGTAGCAATCTTTTGAAATTCACCTGGACCACACACACAGACTGTACAAGTAGAGTTATACAGCCAGACAGTGCATTATGAGGAGTGGTCGCATGGTGGGTAGTGAGTAGCAGTGACAATTTTTTCTCCACACAAGATGCATTCTGTGTTGCAGCAGAGCACTGCCTGCACCTTAGTGCACTCGACTGGGTTGTATAACGATTATAAATATACAGTATATTACAAGTGCCACAGTTCAGATTTAACATGTACTGTAGAGTATATTAATTGCCAAACAATAGTAATAATAATAGTAATTTAAAGTTAGAATAGGATCAACACTAGTAAAGAGTATTTAACTGCCATAACACATTCTAATCCTTTCAGTAAATCCTAAATTTTAAAAATTCAATGTATTAGACTTAAAATTAAAGATAAGCATTAGTTCCTTTGTCTGATGCATCTACAGTATTTTCTTCTCTACTTGTTCATCTTCATCTTCTCCTTGGAGGATTGCTTAATACGATAATCACTCAAGGCAGCTTTAATGGCATCCTCTGCTAGCACTGTCAATTAAAAAAATATTAGGCAATTTCAAAAGGTAACACCAATATATTTAACTTTATGCAGAAATAACCACATGGTGGGTATTTCTGCATAATCAAATCATGTATATTTATTTTTTAATCTAACTAGGTTTATCATATGCTTCTTACTCCTGAAGCAGGCTGTCAGTCCAACAGTGGCTCGCTTCTTTAATCCTGTACATTTTCCTTGCAAGCTTATCCATGACAGACGGTTGGACCAAGTTAAGCGAGGTAGTGGCAGAGGCCAAAACCGTCAGTAGTTTCAAAGCATTACATGACAGTGTTGGGAAGATGGGGCACCATGAGAGCAACATTCATGGTGCCCCATCCTGTAACTACACTTAGGTAATTACACACAAACTGTGCGGTGTAAAACCTCATTGTATATACAATACTTCACAACCGAGACTACTTGCACATTCATAAGTTTTGGCACAGCAATGCTTCAATGTTATTTGACCTTAGTGATTTAATGTATTGTATGTAGAATACAGTATTATGCATTTCAGCTGTAGGTAGAGTACAGTATCTTGAAATGCTAATATTCATCTATATAATCTATATTACAGTGTCAGAAGACACTGACACTAATATAGCTATGATGACCTCAAGAGATTCTTCCAACACAAGGTGACCTGATGTTAGATAAAAATGTGCTGTAGATGAATAGAATATTTGAATATATTATAAAGGAAGGTGGCTTTATTGCAACATAAATGCAATACAATATACTAAACTAACAAAGGTCCCTGAAAAAGGGATGACATTACTACCTGGCCATCCACAAGCAATGAGATGGCCGAGCTCTTAGTTTTGTGGTTAAAATTTCAGTTACTTATTGTAATTAATATCTCTAATATTTTGAATATCAAACTTAATGGTGCCAATCACAATGAAATCACAATGGAGTGATGAATATGTACCATCATGGCCAAGTCAGTTAAGGCAGGTGTCTGGGAATCACCAGACCGTTGGTTCAAGTCACTCCATTGCCTCAATGATTTTCTTTAATGGTGCCAACTTGTACCAAAGATTTTTCCCAAACATTATTCAGAGCATTTTTCCATCTTTTAAAAAATAAGAAACTCTGCCCAAGTGGCTCACAACCAGAAACATTACCATAAGAAAAAGATTAACTTACTAGAGCAGTGAAGTTTGACTGGTGGTAGCTTTAGTTCCTTAGCGATGTCAACATTCTTTATCTTCAGAGCTTCATCCAACTGTAAAATAGAATAAAATTACTAATGTTCCCAGCCATTTTCTTTATCAGTACTGTATTACTCGGTAGAATTTTTTTGTTTTCTTTTTGTTACCTGATTAACTCTACTTACACCATGCCGATGCTTTAAATATTTTTTGATAAGAGTGAGAACAGCACTTGCATTAACAAAAAAGGTACAAGTGACCGTGGGCTTGTTTTGTCAGAACAAATTCTATTCAAGTACAGTAGTTTCCTCTACATTATACCCAAACACAGCAGCAGCATTATTTTTGGAGTAATTAGTTCAATGGCACCTCACTCAAAACTGTTTAATTAGGACAGGACCAATTACATCTTAAATATTTCAGTTCACAGAGTTTTGCAGTCTTTATAAAGATTAAAGGGAAGATTGGACACCACGAGTTTAAGAGATCTTTGACCCTCTGCAATGTCCTCTATTAAGTAAGGGCAACCATGTCATTCTTTTCAGTTAATAAGCACCATGCAAGTATCTTATTACCCTTGTTTTTAATATTTATTCAATGCTACAAGTTTTAGATCCCTCTTTATCATGACCCCCTATAACCTATTCACTATTATTAAGATGATGTCTGATACTTTTTTCTATCTTCAAACCATAAAATTGTCAGTACTCAATTGCATCAGCCAATTTTCAGTTTACAGTACAGTATTTTGAAATTGATTATATGATCTCTTGTAACATTTCTGCATCCATCATAACTCATTTGCCAATTTTTTTTAGTATACTTTGCAGCTCTACTAATACAATGCACGTCCCCTCAATCAAACTGCTGGAATTGAAACCAGCCCCTATCTGACAACTGTTGTAATTTAACTTCTGCTGAATTTTGTCCATTTTGACAAATACTGTACTGTATTTTTTTATTTGGGTACAAATGATAATTTGTTTCATAAGGCTCTGAATGCAATTTTGACAAGTTTCATAGAAGAATACAATGCTAGTACAAACAGTTTGTGCCTTGAGAAAGTCACCGACAAAACAAAATTCCATAATTCCCTTTCATTTCTAGTTTAACTAGAAAAAAATGTGGTAAATTTGGTGATAAATACTGTAGTCAAAAAAGAACAATTACTCAAAGCCTATTTGGGTCTGGAATAATAATATCCAAAGTTTAGAAATTGCTTGGGCAGTATACATTTCATAAACTAAGCATCGTTTTACTACTTTCTTTCCAAAGAAAAACCTGCCAAAGCACCCTGCAATTTTTAAGAGAAATACTGGTGGAACCTAATTTACCCAATTTTATCCAAGGGCACTATCTCTCTAGTGGCCTCGATGAAGACAGGAAGCCAGCAGCTTGTCGAAGGTCCCCCTAATTTGTAAAGGTGCCTCTGCAACTAGGTAAAAAAAATACTCACCGTTTTGCCTTTTACCCATTCTGTTGCTAGAGATGATGATGCAATGGCTGAGCCACACCCAAATGTTTTGAACTTTGCATCAATTATCTTGCCTTCACTATCCACCCTAACTTGAAGTTTCATGACATCTCCACAGGCTGGAGCTCCCACTAGGCCTGTGCCAACCATGCTGTCATTCTTATCCAAAGAGCCAACATTGCGGGGATTTTCATAATGATCTATTACCTGGAAATGAGAAGAACTTCATGGTTCAACAATTCAAGTCTACACTACTTCATTAAAAACCACATTACAGTATTGTAAGAATAAATATAAATCTTGCAAACATTAAAATCTGGGAAAACTTCAAGCTTAAACCTTGCACTGCACAAAGGTTAACTTTGTTTGGAATATAAAGTACTGTATTCAAAACAAGGTTAAAGTATATATTTCTACGGTATATTGTTAAAAACCATGCCCTTAGCAAAGGCATGATTTTTAACAATATAAAATGTCCCAAAAAATTTTGTCATTTTTGAAGAGTAGAGGCCTCAAATACCAATTGGGAACACTGTACAGTACCAGTGGGAGTTTCAATTATTGTAAACTACCTAAAACACCTAAGGATGTGATGCACACCACTGATCGAACATTGTATGATACTTTACCCTAGAGCCAGTAACACACTAGTGGCCTCAATGAGGACAGGAAGCCGGCAACCTGTCAAAGCACCCCTTATTTCTCGTGATGAATTTTTCAAGCTGGATTTTAAAAGATTAACAATTTTGGCATTTGTAACGACAAAACTTTTTCTAACACGGGTACTGTCTTAAACATTTTGCATCACGCCTTATATTTTTTTGTTTACAACCGAGCTCATAGATGAATTAACCTGATATTCAATTACATTTATTTAGATATTTAAAATGCAGCACAGACCTACATAGTGACAATAGGCTATTTACGTTTCACAACATTTTTCTACTCAAGCTGTCATAACCAGTTAAGTTTAAAAAAGTCCAACACAGCCATCTCTTGCTCGATAACTTATTGTCTCCCTGAAGATCCTCATTAATAGAAGTATCTTGAGAAGGCTACTACCACACAAACCTTATTACTCTAACACTAACCACTCCTTTCCACCCTCTTTCCTGAATTTACCTGACAAAATCTTGTCTTATGTCCACCAACATTAAAAACCTATTCCTATCTTTCCTCAACTCTCACACATGCTTTGCTATTCACGTAAAGTTATTTTACACCCGTAATTAACATTAAAATTAATTTACTCCTGTTAAATTAATAAACTCCCACGCCATAAATCTTTTAACACCCACAATGCTTCATGATCAATCCAGTCTTATGCTTTTTCTGGATCAATAATAATATAATTCATTGTGTCAGGGGACCGGTGGCCAGAATGTATTCATAAACGTTAGGCTTATATCGAGGTCACCCCCCCCTCTCAAGGTCAAATTACTGACCTCGTCCCCCAACAAGCTGACTGACTCCTGAGTACCTCCTTAGTGCTGGGTGAACAGGGACATTACTTTAAAATCAGCTGGCTTCGAATACCGGACAGTAGGCCTACCCTAATGAAGGTTTCACACCTCTAGACCTACCTCAAATCCAATACACAAAAAAATTGATGACACATACACAGCACTGAATATTTCCTCGTGTGGTGACCCTAGCGAACAATACCACTACACCCAGACGGTGACCCCTCAGTAAATTACCTAAATTTACCTACAGTGTGTCACATGTGTTAAGATGGGTAACACCCTCAAAAATTATGTACATACTGTTAAAAAATGGCCGATCATTTCTTAATTTAATAAAGGAACAATTTTATGCTTAAACTTAAAAGCAACCTTGGCATGTAATTTACCTTCTCGTGGTAGTTTACGGTGTTAATGAGAGCGGCGGTCCTGGTGGAGAGGAGAGGGAGAGAGCGAGAGGTGGCCCTGAGGAGCGACATGTTCACTCTCCAAGCTGGTCTACGCAACTAGCTGCCCTCCCGCCCATGGTTGCCAGATCCAAATTGCTGAAAGTAGCGAGCTGACGGTCTAAAAGTAGCGAATTTGTAATAAGAGTAGCCCAATTTTTGGTTTAGTGACTGATACGGGTTTCAAAGTAATATATTTTGATATATAGAGTACACTACACGATGTTAATTGTTTTATTAATATTATTTCTGCGCACACACACACACACACACACACACACACACACACACACACACACAGTACACACACATATATAGCCTCATAGCCTCGGAGAAGAAAATAAAGAGTACCCAGAGAAGACCTTGTGGATCCTCACTGAACACTTTGATATTTTCTTCTCCTACCAACCCTATTCTTTTAGTATGTGTGTATATATATCTAACTTTATTTTAAAATTTCATTACACAAAGAGGGTAATGCACAACCTCAAGAATAAGTGACACGTCCCCTGGAGCCCGACCAGTTGTGTAACCGGAGCCCGACCAGTTGTGTAACCGGAGCCCGACCAGTTGTGTAACCGGAGCCCGACCAGTTGTGTAACCGGACCCTGACCAGTTGTGTAACTGGATCCCGACCAGTTGTGTAACCGCAAGCCTAGCATGAATGAGTCAAACAAACAACATCCGAAGCACAAACACACACGAACCGAAGCCCGACTATGCACAACCCGAAGCCCGACCAGTTGAGTAACCAAAGCTCGACCAGTTGTGTAACCAGACCCCGAACAGTTGTGCAACTGTAAGCCTAGCAAGTATACATCTCATCCAACCCCCACCAAGCTAAACAGTCCCAATTAAAGCACAAGCAAATTCCATTCCTAGCTCGACCAAACAAAAATCTTCTTAGCACTACCTAAAACCCTCCACTTGCCCTAGAAACCAAACATGGAGCCATATCAAACAATTGAACTATATAAAAAAAACGAATTTCTAGAAAACATATAAACATAGAGCCCTTGCAAACAAACCTGGAGCACTAGTACAGAAACATCCACTGGAGCACAACCATGTACGAACCGGAGCACAACCATGTATGAATCGGAGCACAACCCAAAGCCCAACAAGTCACACCCCTGGAGTTATGTAATTGGAACCCGACAAGTTGTGTAACCGGAGCCCGACCAGTTGTCTAACCGCAAGCCTAGCATGAAGAAACCAAAGAAACAACCTCTGGATCACAACCATGCACGAACCGAAGCCCGACCATGCTAAACCCAAAGCCCAAGTCACACCCACGGAGCCCGACCAGTTATTTAACCGGAGCCCGACCAGTTGTGTAACCGAAGCCCGACCAGTTGTGTAACCGGACCCCAACCAGTTGTGTAACAGCAAGCCTGGCATGAACGAACCAAACAAACAACCTCTGGAGCACAACCATGCACGAATCAAAGCCCGACCATGCACAACCCGAAGCCCAAATGACACCCCCGGAGCCCGACCAGTTATGTAACCGGAGCCCGACCAGTTATGTAACCGGAGCCCGACCAGTTGTGTAACCGGAGCCCGACCAGTTATTTAACCGGAGCCCGCCAGATATTTAACCGGAGCCCGACCAGTTGTGTAATCGAAGCCCGACCAGTTGTGTAACCGGACCCCGACCAGTTGTGTAACCGCAAGCCTAGCATGAACGAACCGAACAAAGAACCTCTGAAGCACAACCATGCACAAACTGAAGCCCGACCATGCACAACCTGAAGCCGAAGTGACACCCCCGGAGCCCGACCAGTTATTTAACCGGAGCCCGACCAGTTGTGTAACCGAAGCCCGACCAGTTGTGTAACGGGACCCCAACCAGTTTTGTAACTGCAAGCCTAGCATGAACAAACTGAACAAAACCTCTGAAGCACGACTATGCATGAACCGAAGCCCAACCATGCACAACCCGAAGCCCAAATGACACGCCTGGAGCCTGATCAGTTATTTAATTGGAGACCGACCAGTTGTGTAACCAAAGCCTGACCAGTTTTGTAACCGGACCCCGATGAGATGTGTAACTGCAAGCCTAGCATGAACGAACCGAATATACAACCTCTGGAGCACAACTATGCATGAACCGAAGCCCGACCATGCACAACCCGAAGCCCAAGTGATACCCCCGGAGCCCGACCAGTTATTTAACCGGAGCCCGACCAGTTGTGTAACCGAAGCCCGACCAGTTGTGTAACCGGACCCCGACCAGTTGTGTAACCGCAAGCCTAGCATGAACGAACCGAACAACCAACCTCTGGAGCACAACCATGCACGAACTGAAGCCCGACCATGCACAACCCGAAGCCCAAGTGACACCCCCGGAGCCCGACCAGTTATTTAACCGGAGCCCGACCAGTTGTGTAACCGAAGCCCGACCAGTTGTGTAACCGGACCCCAACCAGTTGTGTAGCTGCAAGCCTAGCATGAACAAACTGAACAAAACCTCTGAAGCACGACTATGCATGAACCGAAGCCCAATCATGCACAACCCGAAGTCCAAATGACACGCCTGGAGCCTGATCAGTTATTTAATTGGAGACCAACCAGTTGTGTAACCAAAGCCCGACCAGTTTTGTAACCGGACCTTGATGAGATGTGTAACTGCAAGCCTATCATGAACGAACCGAATATACAACCTCTGGAGCACAACCATGCATGAACCGAAGCCCGACCATGCACAACCCGAAGCCCAAGTGACACCCCCGGAGCCCGACCAGTTATTTAACCGGAGCCCGACCAGTTGTGTAACCGAAGCCCGACCAGTTGTGTAACCGGACCCCGACCAGTTGTGTAACCGCAAGCCTAGCATGAACGAACCAAACAAACAACCTCTGGAGCACAACCATGCACGAACTGAAGCCCGACCATGCTCAACCCGAAGCCCAAGTGACACCCCCGAAGCCCGACCAGTTATTTAATCGGAGCCCGACCAGTTGTGTAACCGAAGCCCGACCAGTTGTGTAACCGGACCCCAACCAGTTGTGTAGCTGCAAGCCTAGCATGAACAAACTGAACAAAACCTCTGAAGCACGACTATGCAATAACCGAAGCCCAACCATGCACAACCCGAAGCCCAAATGACACGCCTGGAGCCTGATCAGTTATTTAATTGGAGACCGACCAGTTGTGTAACCAAAGCCCGACCAGTTTTGTAACCGGACCCCGATGAGATGTGTAACTGCAAGCCTAGCATGAACGAACCGAATATACAACCTCTGGAGCACAACCATGCATGAACCGAAGCCCGACCATGCACAACCCGAAGCCCAAGTGACACCCCCGGAGCCCGACCAGTTATTTAACCGGAGCCCGACCAGTTGTGTAACCGAAGCCCGACCAGTTGTGTAACCGGACCCCGACCAGTTGTGTAACCGCAAGCCTAGCATGAACGAACCGAACAACCAACCTCTGGAGCACAACCATGCACGAACTGAAGCCCGACCATGCACAACCCGAAGCCCAAGTGACACCCCCCCGGAGCCCGACCAGTTATTTAACCGGAGCCCGACCAGTTGTGTAACCGAAGCCCGACCAGTTGTGTAACCGGACCCCAACCAGTTGTGTAGCTGCAAGCCTAGCATGAACAAACTGAACAAAACCTCTGAAGCACGACTATGCATGAACCGAAGCCCAATCATGCACAACCCGAAGCCCAAATGACACGCCTGGAGCCTGATCAGATATTTAATTGGAGACCAACCAGTTGTGTAACCAAAGCCCGACCAGTTTTGTAACCGGACCTTGATGAGATGTGTAACTGCAAGCCTATCATGAACGAACCGAATATACAACCTCTGGAGCACAACCATGCATGAACCGAAGCCCGACCATGCACAACCCGAAGCCCAAGTGACACCCCCGGAGCCCGACCAGTTATTTAACCGGAGCCCGACCAGTTGTGTAACCAAAGCCCGACCAGTTGTGTAACCGGACCCCGACCAGTTGTGTAACCGCAAGCCTAGCATGAACGAACCAAACAAACAACCTCTGGAGCACAACCATGCACGAACTGAAGCCCGACCATGCACAACCCGAAGCCCAAGTGACACCCCCGGAGCCCGACCAGTTATTAAACCGGAGCCCAACCAGTTGTGTAACCGAAGCCCGACCAGTTGTGTAACCGGACCCCAATGAGATGTGTAACTGCAAGCCTAGCATGAACGAACCGAATATACAACCCCTGGAGCACAACCATGCATGAACCGAAGCCCGACCATGCACAACCCGAAGCCCAAGTGACACCCCCGGAGCCCGACCAGTTGTGTAACCGAAGCCCGACCAGTTGTGTAACCGGACCCCGACCAGTTGTGTATCCGCAAGCCTAGCATGAACGAACCGAACAAACAACCTCTGGAGCACAACCATGCACGAACCGAAGCCCGACCATGCACAACCCGAAGCCCAAGTGACACCCCCGGAGCCCGACCAGTTATTTAACCGGAGCCCGACCAGTTGTGTAACCGAAGCCCGACCAGTTGTGTAACCGGACCCCAACCAGTTGTGTAGCTGCAAGCCTAGCATGAACAAACTGAACAAAACCTCTGAAGCACGACTATGCATGAACCGAAGCCCAACCATGCACAACCCGAAGCCCAAATGACACGCCTGGAGCCTGATCAGTTATTTAATTGGAGACCGACCAGTTGTGTAACCAAAGCCCGACCAGTTTTGTAACTGGACCCCGATGAGATGTGTAACTGCAAGCCTAGCATGAACGAACCGAATATACAACCTTTGGAGCACAACCATGCATGAACCGAAGCCCGACCATGCACAACCCGAAGCCCAAGTGACACCCCCGGAGCCCGACCAGTTATTTAACCGGAGCCCGACCAGTTGTGTAACCGAAGCCCGACCAGTTGTGTAACCGGACCCCGACCAGTTGTGTAACCGCAAGTCTAGCATGAACGAACCGAACAAACAACCTCTGGAGCACAACCATGCACAAACCGAAGCCCAACCATGCACAACCCGAAGCCCAAGTGACACCCCCGGAGCCCGACCAGTTATTTAACCGGAGCCCGACCAGTTGTGTAATCGAAGCCCAACCAGTTGTGTAACCGGACC